GACACTTACATTTGTTTTTGTAAAACGGCATTTGTATTATTATTATTACTATGTACATGACCCAGTTATACTTTACGCTTTCCACTTTCCCTCCAATGTTTTTCTTTTCACCATAGATTCTGGCTTTAGCTTCTCTCCCACACCATGGAGTCTCACTACCTCCATTGTATCCTCCACAACACTTTTGTAATAACCACAATGTCTGGTTAGACCTGGGAACTCACGGATAGAGAACATAATGCCAAAGATCCCTGAATGTATAAAAAGCCAGTTATTAAACCTGCCAGCATCTACCCCAGGATTGAACTAGAATTGTGACATGATCCTTTACATATCTTATCTGTTCATACTTAGACTTAGGGAACATATATGTTAATAGCATAGGTCCTGATAGAGCATCCTGCAGAGGAGATTAGCTACTGGTTAACAGGCCCTTTCTCTAGCCTACTTATGGGTGAAGGAGAAAGTGGGTCATTCAAACTCACAATGAGATCAGAGAATGTCATCACTTATTGTGGACATCATTCACAAGTCTCTAAAAATGTGCAATGCTATATTTATATTTTATGCTAAACGATAATACTATAAAAGTGAATGTTTTGAAAACACAGAAATCTTATATTATATATATTGAAGACTCGCTATAATGTATATCCTTAAAATATTATCCTTTATGCTGCTTTATTAAATAAGCTACAAGTATAGCTACAAATAATTTTTATATATATATATATATATATTTTATCTATCTATAACATTCACATAATTTAGTAGAGATTCCAAGATAAAAGAATATAAAAATATTTCAAGGATGCTTTTATTTAATTGGTCTTATCTTTGAGCTAAGAAATATATGAGATGGTCTAAAAAACTATATATTATTATTATACAGGATTTATATATCGCCTTGCACAGCGCTTTACAACACGAGGGCAGGCAGTACAGTTGCAATACAATTCAATACAGCAGAATTCAGAGTCCTGATCATTAGAGCTTACAATCTAAAAGGGCAAGTTAAGTGATGTAAAAGGTAATAACTGTGGGGGATAAGCTGATGGAGAACATAAAAGTACAGTTGTTTGGTGGAGGTAGGATAGGATTCTCTGAAGAGGGTTTTCAGAGATCGCCGAAAAGTGGACAGAGTAGGAGATAGTTGGACAGATTGGGGTAGAGAGTTCCATAGGATGGGAGAGGCTCGGGGGAAGTCCTGGATGTGAGCATGGGAGGAGGAGACAAGGGAGCTAGAGAGCAGGAGGTCCTGGGAGGAACGAAGAGAGAACAAAGAGAGGAACAAACAGAACTATTTGGTTGGTAATTTAAGACTAGATTAGTGATTATAGTGATATTAAAGTTTTAAAGCAGAACTCCATTCATGCTCCCCCCCCCCCACACACACTTTCCATTGGCAGGGGCAGAAGGAAAGCATTCATCATTCCTTCGGGACTGAGAGTTGCTCATGTAATAATATGAATGCCTTTCAGTCTCGGAGACCTGAGACGTCCAGACTGCATGATGATGCTTCCACTTGTAAATGACAGGCTGGGCTCACAGGAAATGGGCAGAATGACATGACTGTTGGGTTACTGCATCAAGGAGGAAACTGAGGATGCCAGTGGATCACAGAAAGGGTATGTAGAACTAGGGAGAGAAGCCTTAACAATATATTGTTGGATTTCCATTTTAAGTTCTAATACTCAGGTGCAAACAGTATTGTTCTGTGGTCTGTACAGCCCTTTCCTTGAGGTTAAACAGATATCTCATAAATACATTTATTTAGGATATGTTTTGTTTTCTATAAAGTATTTCTGAAACTTCGTCAGACTTGGTGTTGGGACTCTCTTGTGATCACAGCTACAGAATAGGTTCTGGTAGATTTAACAGCCTGTCCAGCACTGGATAAAGCACAGACGTCTTTCAATTTGTACTTAATTTTTATATCTTATTGAGGCCTCATTTGCTTGGGCAGATGAGGGCGGTAAAAATAAGCAATTTTACCACTTCTTAACTTCCCAGCTGCAAACGAACATGGTTGGCAGCCATATTAGTATACATCGCCACAGTTGCAAATTGGCAAAGGTTATACCGCCCGTGATAGTACTGCCGCCAAAAGTCTCTGCAGCCAATCACCAGGCCAATAACTCCATACTATAGCTCTATGCATGTTTCCACTTTCTCAGGAAGTTATTTCGGCAGTACATCAGGGTGGAGGCGGAGCAGAGAAGATAAGTTACTGCTTGCTTAGTTGCTATGAAGTACTTTGACTAATATGGACAAAATACAAGCTCAATGTAGAAGTACTGTATGTCTCATTTATTAAAAAAATGAGTAAACCTCAATATTTGCCTGGCCCCAATGACTGACATGGGTTTCCATTCTCAGAACTCCAAACTATCAGGTGTTTGTGGCTCTGAGAAGGAATGTTTTTAATTTTGTGCTTTTCCCATGAGTTTTTAAGTTTAAAAACTAACAATTTACAGAATTGTGTTTATTATTACCGGTACTTTCATTTCATAATATCTTTATTTCACAAAATCACATTTGAAGTTGAACTTTGATCCGCTTTATTTTAGACATCCTTTGGTGTGGGCCACATGTGATGCTAAGCCTCCAAGGTTGGAAGATTGTAAATTGAATGCATTCAATGCAGAGAAGTCCGCAGGGTTTGCAATAGAGTGCAAGGAGGAACTCTGCGGACGCTGATGTAAAGGAGAACTATGCAGACCTGGATGTACAGGGAAACTCTGCAGACCCTGATGTAAGGGGGAATGTTGCATACTCTGGTGTAAAGGGGTTCACTGATGTAAGAGGGGAGTGAGGACACTGGAGGGACTGCTGGTCAGGTGCACAAGGATTATGCATGGGGGGGGGGGGGAGGAAGCTCAGGGACAAGAATAATTTAATGGGCATTTTTTCTGCTGTTTATGGACAACAGAAAGTTAAATTTTTTGCTGGCAACATTGCTTGCCCCTCCCCCCAAGCCCCCCTCCAGTGATGTAAGTTGCAAGTGCGACCTTTGTGATTCAATGGCTGGGCCAGGGACAGTCAGACTGGGTAAGGAGCTAGCTTATGTTGTTCATCCGTCCAGGAAATGATGTAGGTTCTATCTGATGTGCTGCAGCTTCTAAAGCATGCAGTGAAAACATCACAGTGTGCAGTGAAATCAAAGTAAGACACTTCCATACAGGAGAGGGGGCTGTACAACTATGCAAAACTGAAGGTAAGGAAGGCATGCAGCTTTAATATAGGGTGCACCCATGACATCTAACTTGTGACTAATTAACATGTTCAGTCTCTGTCAATGAAAATGTGGTATGACCCTCATCTGAGTCATTTTGATCTTGTTTCAGTGAAAATAACACAGCACTTATGTAGCGCTAACCTTGTAAGGGCCACTGTGTTTCTAGGCCCCCTAAGCTCTGTACAGACAGGCAACACACATTTTCCACACTTGCATCCACAGTCAGTGAACAGTCCATGAGCTTGGTTTTTGTTATTTTATTAGGGGAAATACCTTGGATAGGGTAATAGGGATTATGGGATGCCCAGCTTGACTGAATCATTGCAACTTCATTTCTATGTACAGAAACAGATCCTGAACTGTTTCTTTCCTTGAAAGCCGTCAGTCTTTGAGGATCAGTAGCAACAGCCCCTTACAGGCTAGGGACTTGCAGCCCCTCTGAAAATCAGGTTAACGTCTTGGAAACTACATGCAGAGATGTCTCCACTCCACTGTAGAACTGCTCCCAGCTCCACAGCCTGCAGACACCACCAGCCCACCTGGCTGCTCTGAAGATCTCCCAGGGCAAGGATAAAGGATTGGGCATAGCGCTGTCCTTTGAAAGCGAGCTACGTGTAGCAGTCTCTACCCATGTAAATTCCTGGGTGTGCTGATGTCTCAATCTGTCCTCCTTGCTCACACTGCTCCCAGGCCATGATCCTGTTCATGCTGCGATGGTGAATGCACCCTCCTGAGCCAGCACGAACCCAGGGAACCCTAGACCTAGGGGACCCTCCTATACTACTGACAGTCTCCTCAGCACTACATCTTCCACCGATTGCTTTGCCAGCCTGACTATCCCATATTTATGGGTTGGTCTCACCACTCTACTAGGGCCTCCAAACCTGGGATTGGTTAGACTCCCACAAACATGCAGCTTAGGTCTCCACCTCTTCCGCACACTGGCTTCTGGAAGGTTTTATGGTCCTCCAGAGCCAGGTGAAGGCAATTGATTCCCAACCTTTTAAGCCATCCAGCTTGAACTGCAGTAACCCAACCTTAATCACAGATTCACACAGTTACTATGAGTCATACACAATAGATTTACCTACAATACACTAGTAGCACACTAGCGGGTGTTACAGTTATACAGAGCTCTCTGCCTATCAGCTACATGTGGTGAATATGAAATATCCATCTGCAATAATTAAATATTTATCTGATGTAAATGAAAAAAATTAATGTTATTACTGAAAAAAAAAATTAAGACCTTTTATAATCTAATATTGCACACTTGCTTTAAATTTGGTGCGCTGCTGCTTTTCTAATCCTCACATACACATCTTAACAATAACATATACTTAGTGCACAGCAATACCAAGAATCAACAAATGCTGCTTTCACCTTGGTTGGGATCACACAGAGCAAACGGAGGTAAGTATACCGGCTTTTCAGCTTTGTGGCACACTGCCATAAATGACTTCAAAGATGTCCTATAATAATGAGGACAAGTCACCATGACAGGGGCTCACATGAACAGAATATACAGTATTTTAGTTATTACACAGCACTTTCTTCTCTCCTTATCATTATAAGAAGGGAAAAGATTTTCCTTCTACGAATAGTCTGATCCTGACAATGGCTAACTCAGAGCCCAAACAAAAAGATTAATCTCCCACAAATCTGCTTAGTCATAATCTGGACAAAACCTGAACTGAAAGTGTGGGCAATCTGTCCTCAATGCCACTCTGCCTGATCATGACAAGCTGCTCCCTGAACATACCTGTCCCATCGGGAATGGATCTCACAAAGGTGGGAAGCATCTTGACAATTGCTGTTGGGTTTGTATCCCTTGACAGACCATCTTCCATTTCCTTTTTGAACCGAGACATAATATCCGTTAAGGTTTCGTCTGAGAGCCGCATTGCGTACAAATACTTGTCGATCTGTAGACGTATAAATAGACAGGTGGTTGTTACCAAAAACGCTCTTTTAATAAGCAAAAACAAATTCAGATTGTATATTGCACTGTATATATGAATATAGCTGAATGCACAGCACAAACACTTTCATTTAACTATATTCCTCAGTAGGCACAAAGGAAACAAATCCACTTATGTGCACCAAAGACCTTTGCAAACCCAGATATTACCTTGTCATCATCACTGTGCTGTACATAGCTTGTGCAAAAAGCAGAGTTGTGAGAGGAACCCAATAGGTCCCCCCCCCACCCCCCTCACTAAAGGCTGCCTACAGAAAACTACAGGAGGGGCTGAAACATGATCAGTCACTCTATACACAGGGAGAGCAACAGTGACAGGTCTTTGCTACTGGAAGCTCAAAGGCAAAGTTTCACACTGGATTACTACACAGATCTGGAAGAAATACACAAAGCACACCAAGATTCAAATAAATGCTTGTATTTAGACAATATTTTCTCTTCCCGGAGTTCTGCTTTGAAGGTGTTTTTTTGCTCCAAGAAGCATACATTAACTAGATGGTGGCAATACATAGCTGCCTGTTGTGAAACCTTACCCATTCAGCAAGTGATAAAGCCTGTCATCATGTTTTCAACTGTAAAAATTAGGCTGAAAGTACACTATATTGCCAAAAGTATTGGGACACCCCTCCAAATCATTGGATTCAGGTCTTCCAATCACCTCCATGGCCACAGGTGTATAAAGTCAAGCACCTAGACATGCAGGCTGCTTCTCCAACATTTGGGAAAGAATGGGTTGTTCTCAAGAGCTCAGTGAATTCAAGCATGGTACCCCTCTGCAATAGGTTGCCACCTGAGCATAAGTCCATCCATGAAATTTCCTTGCTATAAATATTCCACGGTCAATTGTTAGTGGTAGTATAGCAAAGTGGAAGCAACTGGGAACAACAGCAACTCATCCACGAAGTGGTAGGCCAGTGTGAGCATGCGGGGTCAGCACATGTTGAAATGCACAGAAGTCGCCAGCTGTCTGCAGAGTCAATAGCTAAAGACGTCAGATTAGCACAACAACAGTGCATAGAGAGCTTCATGGAATGGGTTTCCATGGCCGAGCAGCTGCATCCAAGCCTTACATCACCAAGTGCAATGCAAAGCCCTGGATGCAGTGGTGTAAAGCACACCGCCACTGGACTCTAGAGCAGTGGAAAAGTGTTCTCTGGAGTGACCAATCACGATTTTTTCTGTTTGGCAATCCAATGGACGTGTCTGGGTTTGGTGGTTGCTAGGAGAACGGTACTTGCCTGACTGCATTGTGCCAAGTGTATAGTTTGGTTGAGGGGGGATTATTGTGTGGGGTTGTTTTTCAGGGGTTGGGTTTGGCCCCTTAGCTCCAGTGAAGGGAACTCTTAAGGCATCAGCATACCAAGACATTTTGGACAATTTCATGCTCCCAACTTTCTGGGAAATGTTTGGGGATGGCCCCTTCCTGTTCCAACATGACTGCGCAGCAGTGCACAAAGCAAAGTCCATAAAGACATGGATGAGTGGGTTTGGGGTGGAGGAACTTGACAGGCCTGTACAGCGTCCTGACCTCAACCAGATAGGGGAGGAATTAGAGTGGAGACTACGAGCAAGGCCTTCTTGTCCGTCCAATATCAGTGCCTGACCACAAAAATGTACGTCTGGAAGAATGGTCAAATATTCCCATAGACACCCTCCTAAACCTTGTGGACAACCTTCCCAGAAGAGTTGAAGCTGTTATAGCTGCAAACGGTGGGCCAATTCAATATTGAACCCTACGGACTAAGACTGGAATACCATTAAAGTTCATGTGCGTGTAAAGGCAGGTCGGCTCAATACTTTTGGCAATATAGTGTATATCTAAATCCCAACACTTAGATTTTTAAATTTTATGTAAACTAGAGAATTACATAAGCCCACCTTCCCTGGCTGCCATGTGAAAAAGGTCTACAGGTGCATTTGGAAAAGGATGGCAATTCCTGGGCAGAAGAATGGTGGCTCTCAACAGTGATTGATACACTGTAAATCGGGTAGAAAAGCAAGATTAGAAGATCTTTTGTGGTTAGAGAATTGTTTGCGTATGATGAAATACCATGACATAATACCAGTTACTCTGACAGCTGGTGGCACTTTTCCACAGCTATTTAAAGTAAAACTTTAGGTAGACAGGAAGATAAACTGTTGAGATAAATCTGTTTCCTGTTTTACATGGAAAGGATTTCTAAATCTCTATAGCCACTAATTTACAGTCCTTTGCCACACTGGTTAAGCTTTATGGCTTCCTGGATCCGCTGATTGGAAAGAAGTGATGATATTGATTCATTATCTAGACTGGAGGTACAGGGAAGCTGCACTCCCCGTGCGCCGTTTTAGGACATATTTAGCCACCAGCGCATGTGCTCTTTAGGAACAACATATGCATGCCATTTATTCAGAGCCCTGTGCCGCAAACATTGACTCCCACGCCCATGCACAAGAGTGACGTCATCGCGGCTCGTCCATTCATACTGCTGAAGCCCGCGAACCTAGAAGGAAGACTGGGTGGAAGCACCTACAGCGGTGATAGCATGCCACTGGAGGGCTTTGTTTTTAGGTAAGTCTGTCATAAAGTGCTAATATGCAGTGCATACTAACACATTATGTCTTAAACTGTCCAGAGCCCAATTTTCTTCTTTTTACTGTGCTTTTAGGCTAGGTTCACACCAGCCTATTCACTAAAAAGTGATCTGCGGTGGAATGCTTTTCAGAGTGTGGCTAAGCAGCTGCTTTCAGTTACTCAGGTAGGTGATCCTGCTGCCTCTTGAATGCTTGGATTTCTTTCTTTTTTTTGCCAAACAGCAATTTACAATGGGACTGATGCAACTGCAAGCCAAGTGTTTGGCTCACAGTTGTGGCACAGCTCTACTGACTTCAATGGCTGGTGGTGCCGCTTGTTGACCCGACACCCTGTAACAAATTTGCTGCAAGTGCGATGCAAAACATCACCGCCGCAACACATGACCAGTCTCCTCGGACGGAGTATGACCTTTAGGTTGATGTTGGAGGGTGGTAAAACTACAGTTCAGCATCCTGTTTTTGCAGCCATTCCCCCAGCCACCCTTGTAATAGAGGCCTTTTTCCCTTTCCTTCATGTCTGATAAGGTAATAAAGTGAGGGAACTTTACAATAGCAACAACGACAGAAATACAAAGACATTTTTAGTACAGTAGGGGAAGGCTAGAACCCCTTTTAGATGTTTATTTTTGTCTGTGTCCCTGTTACAGATTTTCCTTCACGTCTTGTCTGCTAAAACTGTTGTCAGCTAGACAGCAAGGCTAGGTTCACACGTGTGTCTGCATACATATGCGGTTTTTAATGTGTTTTTTTAATCACTCCCGTTGAAGCCTATGGGGCCAAAAGCACGTACTGAAGTGAGTCACATGGGCCCCATAGCCAGTAATAGGATTTCTCTTGCTGTGCGTTGTGGCATGACGGCTGAGACGTGACAAATCGCACAGGTGTGAATGGGGACAAGCAGAGGGAAGAAATCTCTAACAGAGCCCCAGATAGGAGATAACAGACGGGTTCAAATCCTTCCCCACTCTATCCAAAACAGCAAAAAAGGTTTCTGGTTTGACATACAATGTAAAGCTGTCATTTCTGACTGATGAATACAATGTGATTCCTTTAAGTTCACAGACCATATTTAAAGAAGAAGCAGTGAAATATTCTAAGTATTACTATGGAATTTGTAGCATCATTTCAAGCAGGATGGGGCATGCTCTATGGGTTGACATTCCCTATGGAAATGAACTCATTTACTTTGACCATTTTTTAAAATGTAGTTTAGTTTTTATAATCATTTGACTGAAGAATAGAGTCGTATATTGAGCTTTTATCAATCTTATCGGCATCTGAATATTCATCTTTGAAGAATTTTGGCCCTGTCTATTGGATGCAGTTATAAAAAAGAGAAACATGTCCATAGCAACAAATCATGCGATAAATCATGCAATTACTTTGTCTAACCCTGGTGCCCATGTGGTTTGCAGGCTGGCTGTAGCCCGGTGGCCTTCTGCATACAGCTCAACAGCTATTGGGTACCAGATTGTACTTTGATGCAGAGTTATCTCCAATCACAGTATCAGTCAGAGAGAGGTGTGGGAGTGTGTGATCAGATAATGACCACCAATGAGGGCCGATTTTCGACCCATCTATGGCCTGCATAACACAGATACATGCAATTAACTTAAAGTGACATATTTTTTATTCTTCATAAATAATCAATACACATCCACTACTTAATGCCCCTGTAACCCATTTTCTTTAAATTGTTTCTCACTGTTTTTTTTTGCCTCCTTGTATTGTCCTCTATGAGCTCCCAAACCTCTCCTTATCCTTCTCGCATTTGTTTTGAACGAGCATTGCATGTTAGTTGCGCTCATGTGCACTGTTTTATGCACACAGTCCACAGTCCACATCTAGGGAGTGAGCAGGAGCAGGTAACTACAGTATGTATCTACCAACAGTGAGAGCATGGAGAATGAATGTAGCCACCCCTAACAGGTAATCAGATTACAGACAAAAAAAAATTCTGGAATTTTTAGGAGGCTAAGACCCCGGGCACACCGGGTGCGCCTTGGAATGTGATTTGCCATGCCATGCGACTTGCAAATTGCATGGAAAGTTGCACCGTATTGTCCGCAATTACAGCGGTCATATCTGTGGGATTCCGATTTGGTCTTGCAAGCCACAGATGTCTTGCAAGTCGCACCGCAAGTCGAACCAAAAGTCGGAATACCAAATCGTGCACTTCCAGCGAAGTTCAAAGTCGGATCAGTGTGACCGGGGTGTAAGAGCAATAGAAGGGACTTTTTTACTTACATGCTTAAAGGAAAAATGCAGACAAAGCTCTACACTCCTGTGACCCATTTTCAGCTGACAATGGGCTGAAGCCTGCTGTCTGCTGACGTCACTCAGCCAGTTCAGGCTGGGGAAAGATCCCGA